CCCAAGATTTTAATGCTACCTATAATGGTTTATTAGACAGAATTCAGTTTGAATTTGACTTAAAAGGACCTTCATAGAGCTACTTATAAAGTGAGAGAAATCAAGTTTACTTCTATCCAAATTACATTGTTGATACCACATTTACCATTCATGTTTAATATTTTTAAATAAGTGTTTAAGAGCCTCACGATGTCTACATTAGGATTCATGTTTGAATGGACACAACACTATCCAATTATTAGAGCTCATGCATCCCTTCTTCAGTGATTCTAGATTCTGATCCCTTGTGAGCTATTGACTTGCTTTTGAACCTCTAGCAAGGCCTTCTTGAACCTCCATAATCCCAGTTGGAAAATTAGGTAAAACAAAAACATGACCTCATTAAGAAACAGATGCTTCATCTGAGCAGTGCTTTCCCAAGTAAACACATTACAGAGCCTCTTGTGACATTTTTGTAGGATGTGGTACTGTGTCCCCTTCACCATTGGCTGGTTGGGGATCAGGAGACAAGAGCTTGAAATTCCATTTAATTTGCAGACCAAAGTTTAGAAAAACAACCAATTTCCTTCCTGAGGTTAATGTTGTGAACCCGCTTTAGTTGTACAGTCATACCGGAATTAAATAAAAAGCCAACCGAATGATTTCCTTTAAAGTAATGTCTCCTCACCAAGCTGTACATTATTACAGGTTTACTAACACAGATTCACTTGCCAATTTAAGGCTGCATGATGGTTTTTAAATCTGAATTGAGAATATCAAAGACGAAATTTATTTAATTGTGTCACCCACTTGCCAATTTAGAAAAAATATTATACTAGAACATGATCAGGTGACGGTTTGCTATTTCTGAGCTAACTCTTAACACCATAGATTTTTGTGATTAAATTCATTTCTTCAGTATAATTCAAATAAACTCCTTCCCATGTTATTTTGGGTGATGGGCACTCACTAGCAGGACTGCTATATTTAGGGCATGATTTAATATCTATTAAGAAAAGAACAATGTTTTCTACCAAAGCACTTAGAATTCACACCTGGACTTTTACTAATGATTTCAGTCATCAACTAAATAGTGTTCTGAGCTATGAATGCCTCAAATTTTCCCAACACATCTCTTGAAGAATACTCATGGACTAGATGGCTTTATAATTCTAAAATTAACTCTGGCTTCTGTCACCTCTTCCTTTTTTAAATTTTAATAGTCTAATATATAAAAACAGAAACCATTCATTAGCAAGTGAATCCACTATATAAGGGTATTTGGTCCTTTGTCACCTCAGGATTTTGATTAGAAATTTCTAATTATATCATCAAGAATTAAGGATTTACTAACAAAGATAGTATTAAAAACAAAATTGCTCAAGCCTATTGCTTTTCAGTATTTTCATGTATACTAATTACAAATGGTCCTAAATGCAAATACTAATTCTTCCCTAAAGAAGACTTGGTATCTCTAGATTAAACACAGACAGTGAATGGCTACCCCTAAACCTGTCTCTACCTTTTCTCTTACTAGTTTTCACATCCTGTTTTACTAATGGAGCTTTCTCAAAAATATTTTACCTTTCCAAACTACTTTGAGTCTTCCTCACTCTTCAACTTCAACTCTCTGACTCTTAAGAAAGAAATATTCCTTCCTGTCTCCAGGAAGAAGAGTTGCCTTTCTATGTGGGTTTCTCTATCATATCACCCTTCTCCTCCAAGATTTCATTCCTCAATTAGCTTTGCTCTGTATTGCTGTAAAAGCTCATCATCATCATAAAGTATGAGATGAAAACAGCAAACTACTATAGATGAGTCCTTATCACACTTTCTCCAACACTTCAGATTCTTTTTTTTATTAGTATATATTAGTTGTACAAAGTGGTTTCATTGTGATATTTCCACACATGCTATATCTTGATCAAATGATCAAATTCATTCTTCCTCTTCTCCTCTTCTTAAAACAATTTCAACAGGTTTTGTTGTTCTATGTTTGCTCATGGGTATAAAGAACTTAGACCATATTCACTGCCCTTTTGCCTTCTCCTTTCACCCTCCCCCTCCCACTGGTACTTACCCTCAGTCAGACCTGTTTTACATTCTTCATGAGCTATTTTACCCTCTGGGACATTAATGTCTTAGTCCTACCTGCTGCTAATACTCTAGGGACAGCTTGCTGCAGAAATTCTCTGTCTCCAATCCACACCATTCATTTTGAACATCTCTATGGATGAACAAACTTTCCCTGAAAAGGCAGATGTTTGAAGTTAAAACCAGTCCTTGACAGTCAGTAGATCAGCATACCTTTTTATTCCCCCTTCCCAACTATTTGAATTACACAGTTGTCAGCTATGACATCATATTTTAAATTTCTGAGATTTCATATTTCTAGTATCATAGTGCATTGTCTCTCCCATAAGTGTCCCTTTAAAATAACTTATGCTTGTGTATGTATCTTGCCATTTTGGTTCAAAGATATTTGCAAGTTGCACAGTGACACTAGATGTCTTAGCATAATTGACTGGGGAGTCACATTTAAAAATACCACTCCTTTTGCTGTTCACAACCTTTAGTATGTGTGTCACGTCTTTCCTGAAGAGCATCCAAACATCTCTCACATTGATCTTCCCTTTCAAATCCTGTCCAGCTCCTGAGGGGAAATCACATGGTCTCTCACTGTGTCCTGGTTCCAGCCACTCTGCTCTGGAACTGGCTGCCTGGTTTGGGGGTGGCTAAATGTTCTTTTCATTGCCCACGACTCTCGCTGTCCTTGACAGAGCATGCCTTCCCAGCCAGCTAACAGACTATCTTCATGGATATTCATTTGCCCTCAAGAGTGTGTCAATTAAATTACATGGAAAAATTAGCAAATTTGAGGAACCCCAAAATCACAATGTGATGTGAAATAACATGCCAAATGTCATCAAATTATGCCAAAATATTTTAAAGTATGCCTGGGTGACATAATTGAAAAATTTAAATGTATATGCCTTGCTTCACTGTATGAAAAAAAAACATAATCAAGGTACTCTCACAAGCCCTTCAAAGTGAATTTGATGTTGGCCATGCAGCTTATATTTTAAAACAAAAATCTAATATCTACCCTCAAAATGAAGTGAAAATCCCTGGATGCAATAATAAAAATGCATGAGGAAAGTGCTATTTATATTGATTTGGAGGGAAATACTGCTATTTCATTAAACACATATGACTATCTTATGAAATAGAATGCAAAAATCGCATATTTTAAAAATATCAAACCTGGATTCAAGTACCTCCCATGTTACAGAGATTCCTTTGGACCACTTTCCTTTTCTTTTCATAAGCCACTGTAAAAAACTCAAATTTGAAATTTCCACATAAATCTTTGTGTTGATGGATAAAGCTTCTTCTACCTTAGAAAAGTTCAGGAATTGCAGAGTACATTCCCAAAAGGTGTTTGGTAGACTAAGTTATTTTCAGTAGTTTTAAGAAAGATTCTGTTTTCCTATGGACTGTGAGTTTCCTAAAAATCTCAACATATCACTCAAAATTTGGATGGGTCCCTGCTAATTTTCATTCATGTGTTGTTTGGGACATGCTTTATAAACTATGGTGTATATTCATGCTACTGATCAAACCAACCATCAATTGTAGTGGGAGGGTTTCACAGAAAAAGCTTGCTTGTCTCACAAATGCAAATGAAGTCAATAACCAAATAGCATAAATATATGGAGATTTGGAAGGTCACCAAGCCCTAGTCACTTAATTTCAGCTACAACAGCAGTCAACTGCTTAGTGAACAATTTTGTTATGAGGTGTTGGTGATTTAACAAGTTGCCAAAAGTAATTGGAAAGGGGTGTGAAAGATTTCATCTCTGTTGAGTTTTACTGGTGTGCACTGGATGCTTGATAGAGTGGCCAAAGTTCCTGTGTTTGACACTCAGAAATCTAAGGAAAACAAAGCAATCAATTTGCTATGCTATTTTTAACATTCTTTTAAGTGGTTTTTATATGATTCTAGAAAGCTTTTTTAAAAACACCATTAGGATGATCTGTTGTCTATTTGTTAGTTTCTGCAAAATGCTCAAACTGCTGACCTGAATTTTTTTTTTAAGTCTTTTAGATTTATAGGAGGATGTCAATGTATCCTTAGACTATGTGAAAATTAATATTAGGTAATAAAAAGCAATTCACTCAGATTGTAGGAATGTGGTGACACACTCTGTGAAATAATATCTGGCTGGAAAGAAGGGTTGTGGTGCAGGCTGGGATTTCAGAGACTGTGGGAGACGGAAGCACAAATAGCACGTGGCTGAGTGCTTTTGAAGACTCACTCATTTGCCTGCTCTTCAGTTTCTAACACTTCATCATGAGCATCTTGATATTTTAGACATTCTTGAATGTAATTGGGTATATTTTCAAAATAAACTTTTTGTAAGACTAATTAAAATTCAGCACTCACTAAATAACTAAATGCAATGAAGCAAACTTATATTTGCATGCAACCAAAAACTTACTGTCTTCTCTTCTTTTGTTCCCTGAGTAATCTCATATAACCACCTATTTACTTGAGCAAGAAAACAGACTCCACTAACATTCAAAAACTATCTATCAGGTGTTTGCAACTTCCAGGCATTAAGTTAAATACAAAGGTTTCAATAGTGACGGGGTGGGGGGGTGAAATGCCCTTTGCTATTGGTTGATTAGAGAGGGCATAATATTAAAATAATATGTGTTGAGGGCTATGCTAAAATCCCACAGTTGCCTCACAAATTCTAGATTCTAAATAGGTCTTTGTTTCTACATGTCAGTGAGCATATGTGATCCAGATGAATTATGGGATTATCCAACTTTGTTTAATTTGTCAGTTTTCTTCCAAATGTTCACCCAGAATCATTGCTCCACCAGCTACATGTAGCTTTTATATCCCTGGGGGTCTAACATAATTATCAGGGAAAACTAGAAATGCACAATCATTCATTATTTTCATTCCCTTTATTCGCTGTCATTTGTACCTCTTCTGTTCTCTCCCTTAGGACATCTACTTGGCCTCTCCCATGATGATTCTAAATTTTGTGAAGAGAACTTTGGTTCAACAGAAGATAAGCGCTTAATGTCTTCCATCCTAACCAGCATCGATGCATCTAAGCCCTGGTCCAAATGCACCTCAGCCACCATCACAGAATTCCTGGATGATGGACATGGTATGTATCACTCAGAATAAAGAAAAAAGTTGAAATTCTTAGGAGCTTTAATCTATGAAATGCTCATCACATTCATCTCACTCTCTAAGACAATGGTTCTGTAGACAGTGTTAGAAAAGAAGCAAGGAAATTGATTGGCTGTTGGCGTGCTATGCCAACAACCTTGGTGGCATTATAGCTATGGTATTTTTGCTTTTGAATTGAAAAGTTCAAAAGAGAAACAGTGTGGGAGGCCACACAGAATGCCTAGCAGCGGGTGCTCTGAAAGTTTGGCTTTTATTCCCTCCTTCACCACTAGCTTCCTGTGAGAACTTTGGCAGACATCTTGGTTTGCCTGCTATTAATATGATTCTCAGAGTTATTTGTTACATGCCTAGTATAGAGGTGTGGTTAAGGCATGGGTGACAATTCTACTACATTTTCTTTATGGCAACAGAAAGGCTAGAAAGAAATATCCCTAGATTTTCATTGACTGGCAGAATTTGATTTCATCCTAACAGCAGATTCTCCCCAAAGTGAAATAAAAACTACAGAACAGAAATAGAAAAGCAATCTGAATGATGGGAAAACACTTGAAAACCTTCAAAAGAAAGCCTTTGGCTTTATTCTTTAATGGACAGTTCAAAAGCATAGCATACTTTATTAAGTGCTGTAAGACTAGGATTAGTGTTGTAAGATATATAAAAGTTAAGAAAAGTCACAATTTCTAGAAATAATAAATCCTGGCCCCCAGTATTCTTTGAAACAAGCTATGCAAATTTCCTAACACCCTTCATTACTTTAAAATAATATAAATGCAGGAGAAGATAGATGTGTTAAAATTTGAAGAAATCTTTAGAGCTCACATCTTTCTTGTTTCCATCTTTCAGAAAAGAGCATATTCTTTTTCCTTTTTTTGCTCTCTTAAAATTTATCACTTTTTAAAACTTGTGATTAAATTGACTATAAAAGAAATTCTTGATGATAATAATTTTCCATAAAAGTATTTTATTTATTCTTCAAAATAGTATAAAGAGAATCTGTGGTAACTGTCTTTTCCTCAGTTCCACAAAGTTTGTTACTTAATGTTTTCCTAATTTCTTAGTGTGTTAGGCTTCTTGAACTTTGGCTAAACAAAGCAATCAATAAATTAAATTCATTTCAGATGAAAAGAAATTCATTACAGTTTTTTTATATCATATATGTAAAATGTGTTTATTAGTTCATTTTTCCTACAGTAGTAATGTTCTAATAAGACTTTCATTGCTTGCTACTAGCAAAGTGACACAGGTCCAGCTTGGTTTAAAATTTCTCTCAGCATTGACAGAGCATTCTATAATCTCAGTGCTCAGCAGACTAGGGCAGGAGAATCCAGAGTTCCAGGTACATAAGAAGACCCTGTCTCAAAAAATAAAATATCAAATTAAATAAAATACAATTGAATAAATTAATCAATTTACGTATAAATTGTCTCTCAATAAAAAAATAAATGTTCATTAATTGAAAGAATATCCCAATATCTTTTTATCTTTTCCCTTTTTTTCTTCCTTTTCTTTTGAGACAGGGTCACACTGTCTTTCCAGGCTGTTTGGAACTCACCATGTATCCCAAACTGGCCTCAAGACATCCTAATATTCTAAAACTTGTAAATAATACTAAAATCAATGTATCTGGCTTTTCATTTACACTAATAAATGCAATGGCAATTTTATGTCCAGTTCAGTTATAATCCAAATAAATTCTCAAAATGAATGCTTACCTAATTATCATTCTATCTACGTTGATCAAATCGATGTTTTACAAAGTCTCCTGCTGGTAGAATTTTAACTTTCCACCCCTAACATTACTTTTGCTATTTCATTAAATGAAATAACAGTAATATTTTATTTCAAAATCACACATTACACATTCCAAAAGGTTGAGCTAAACCTTGAATCACTGAGTGAATGGATTTAGTTGCTAAGACAGCAAATACTTATGGCTAAAATGTACCAAATTTTTTTTTTGCTGTGCAAGTATTAGGTCAACTAATTACAATGCTGTGCAGAATTTGGTTGCTTTTATCATAATTTTCAAATGATTCATTTATTTCATATTTGTATAATGCTTATCTTACTTTCTGTGCAGCAAATGTACTTTCAGCATTGTCTTTAATTTTTAACATTATTTTAATATTTAAAGAAGTCCATGCTTTCAGTTTTTAAAATTTTGCAACAAATTAATGTATTTTTGCATCTCTCTATTTCTATTCAAAAGGACTCATGATAAAGAACAACTAAGAACACAATTTTAGTTGCTGTAAATCTTATCCATTTGCACTTATAAAAATAATCTGAATTTCCCAGATGTCCATTAAATAAACAAATTCAATTACCAGAATCTTTTGGACAGAAAATTCTGAGTTTATTTACTTAGTTAATCAAATCTAGAGTCTCCCACTTTTGAATATGTTGGTCTGGTTAGGCAGTCTTTTGTTCTAAAATATATTTTTCAGTCACATCTAATGACTTAAACAACTTCAGAAAAACAAAGAATGAGGAAATTTCCTACAGAAGAGGAGCAAAGCTCAGCCATGTCTCATTTCATTTCAAAATGGCATACACAATGCAGAATTGAAACAGTGATATCCTCTAAAGCACTATTATATAAATGTGAATTAAAATAATGTAATAACTTTTGAATTGTGACCAGAACAACTGACAAATCAGTTTTAAGTGAAAGGGTGGTCACAGGAGTTAAATCAGTCCAATTTTAAGATAATTAAGGTTCTGATATTTAAACTGCAAGCTTACAAGAGAACCAGTGAGAAGAAACTCAAAGTCCAAGATCGTAAAAAGCAAAATGCATCTTTGCTGAAAGACTGACAAATTGCATGAAAGCATTTCATAAAACCTTCTCACTTGACAATTGGGAGCTACTCAGGCTTCCACTCAGAGCCTGCTATTTTTCTGTTCTAATTTTCTAAGACACTAGAAACTCCTGAGGTTCCATATGCCAGTTCTGTCCACCTGCCCCTAAATGCCAAACAAACAGATATGGTAAGAGCAGAGAAAGGAGGTTTATTACAAGCTCAGAAGAGGCAGAGTAAGCACTCAGCTCATCTTTGGCTATCTTCAGAATATAGACAAGAGTCATAGGTTTAAATAGACAAAAGAACTGGAAGTAGGAGACAAAGGTATGGAACAGTCCCAGTTATAGGTGTGTTCTCGTTGATCACTATCTTAGTCCAAGTTTTCCAAAAGGAGATCCAAACAAGATGTTATTGCTTGAGAGGAGCAATCAGTTTCCCATGAGATGATTGCTCCACTCCAGGGTGCAGCCTCATCATTATAGATAATTGTCCTCATTTGGAGGGGTGGTCTTTTCTGCAAGTCTCCACTGTCTTTTATGGGAAGTTTCAGTCCCTTGTCATAAAGATGTCATCAGTTCTGACCTTTCTGGAATCCAAGGTAATCACAAAGTGAATACAAAGAGAACAGCTTTGAGCAAAGACAGATACAAAATGAAGGTAGAGATGCCAAGCTTCCAGTTAATTCGTGGACCCAAGTAAGGAGTCAGTGCTTTTCAGCAAAAGTGTGACAAACTTACCACACTAATGTTATTCCTAAAGGTACCTGTATAGTTCAGTTTGATTCAATAATTAATACATAGAAAAAATGATTTTCAGTTATTTATGAAGGTTAAATGGGAATGCTAACCTAAAGACAACAAAGCAATTGCTATTTTTAAGTAGGTATTCTCACAAAATTTACACAATGTTCCAGTGGTACCTAAAGAGCATTCTATCTGGAAAACCTATTTAAATACAATATTCTATCCCCCCCCACACAAAGTGCTATATGGATGAAATCTAGAATGAAATTAAATTCAAAGCATTTGATTTATTTGTAAAATTACTAGCCAGCCATATGTAGCTGGACATTTGTAGCACCCACCCATGGCCAAGTTTAAACTCATTAAGACTGTTTCCTGATTTAGATCCAGCAAGAAATATACAGCAATTAGATAATAGTGGAGAAGCCAGTGTGCATACTGGAATGTAACTCTGTCTATAGATTTGTGATTCAGAAAAGAAGTAGCCATGTCTCCTAGGACCCCCTCACCCCTGGCCAAGACACGAAGAAATTCTGCAGTGTTTATACAAGTCAGATGTAGGCAACTGATTCTCTAATATAAAAGTAAGCACTGGCAGAGAAATTGTGCAGTGAAAGCAGGATATCTAATTTCTTTTGTAAAATGCTTAATAAAACCTTGAGGCCAAAGAGGATAGCTGTGTTTTCTGTATCCTTAAGTCTACACTGCCAGATGATAGAAAAGGCCACCACCTGTATAAGTACACCTCAAGAATACCCACAACCTAATTAAGGAAGAGCTGTAGACAGTTTTGAAAGTTGCATGTAGTTTAGTTGAAGAGCTAAGTTCACAGCCACTCAGTGAACACAGAACTTTGACAGAAAATGGCATAGGAAAACCAGGTCTCTGATGCTTTGGTAATTGTTAACTGTACAGCTAACCATAAAAGCTTAACATTTGGTTTTAAAGGTGGCCTTAATAAAATTCAAAGCCTATTATGGTTGAGTTCTTAATTTTCACAAGAAATATGTTCTTTGAAACAGTGCAAATAAGATATATTTTGAGATCATGGGTGACCTATATTTTTCAGAAGCTTTGCTTCACCTTTCCTCATGGTGAGTTTTTCATCTTCTTTGTCATTGCATTTGCTAAACAGTACACCTAATGCCTCTAACAGCCTTAAAAACAAACTCCTAGAATTACATTTAATCAATGCCCTTTGTTCCTTCTTCAGTACCCTTGTTCCTTTATCACTGGGACCAAAGTGACTCATCAAAGTGCAGGAAAATGCACCAGTTTCTTTTTTAATATTAGACTAAAATAAAGTGGTACAAAGGCGGGGAGATGAAGATAGGAAGCAAAAAGAGAGCATATGAGGTGTGATTATGCTCCTTAGGATGATTTTAGGAATCTGAATTGATTTCTCCTAAGCCATCGATATTTGAACTAATGCTTAATTTTATGTCTGAGTATTGAAAAGGAGGAAAAGGCCGAAATGCTTGCAGCATTAGAAATTGGGAGAAAAATGAAATCATAATTCTATAACTTCCACTCATTATTAATATGAAAGACAATGTTAGAAATCAAACACACAAAATTAGAGATTTTTCTGTTCCATTTCCTGGAGACAAGGCATACCTGACATTCCCCTTTTAAAACATTCTTCTGCTGGCCCACCTCAAGCCACTGCTTTTTATATTTTAATCTTTTCCCTTATTTTAAGCATTTAGTTTAACATGAATGTTAAAAACACATGCACTATTCACACATTTCTATTGACTTGTTTTTATAAACTATGCATTTACATACACAAAATTCTAAAGAAGAAAAGAAAGGAAGAAGAAAAGGAGAGAAAAAGGGAGGGAGGAAGACATAACTTGGCAATTTGTAGAGCAGAACAAAAGGAAAATATTGACAGCAATGCTCAGATAGAATTTCAGACAAGGTTAAATTTAAACTATATGAAGTAAATATGAAAAAGTGATTGAGAATAAAAGTGGAACAGATTAAGAAAAATATACCAGTAGGTCGGATGCCTTTAGAGGTCAATATAAACGATGTGGAAAGACTGACCCAGTTCCCTGTCATCCCTGCCCCAAACTGTATACATTTTTTAAATTGGAAAATGTATATCTGATCCATGATTACTTCAATTTTAAGTATTGTATATGATGAGGTTCAAAATCAGCTCTGTAATGATTTTGTTGTCGTTCCCTGGCATAATTTTGCCATTTGGTAGAGATGTCTATATCTAATTTGTTGGAAAAGGACATAATTAAATACAAAAATGAGATCAATGGACTATATGTTTCAGGAACTGAGGCAACAACAAATCCTAATACTGAGAACATTACGATAATAAGTTAATGTCAGTCATTTAATGAAATGTTTTGCTGCTGTTGTTGCTTTTAAGATAGGTTCTCTGTATGTGGCTCAGGCTGGTTTTATCCTGAACCTGCTTCTGCCTTTGAGTGCTGGGATTAGAGGTGTGTGACCCCACACCCAGCTGAAATCATTTTATTTTAAACAAGAAAAGGTCATCTCCTGTTGTACCTAAATCTTAACAGCAAAACAAATGTGTTATTTATTTCTAAATTTTTTCCTGGGTTTTGTAAAGAAATGCTACATCTTGAAGTCTCCTTGTAGGCTGATTTCAAATTGTTTGCATTCTACATCTTGGAAAGTTTAGCTCTGGTGTATACCTTGATTCATGTCTCCAGCAAGAGAGGAATTCAGGCAAGACATGAAAATGTAGTAAAAGTAACAGTAAAGTTTATTAGGAAAAGAATTTAGTGTAACAGGGTAAAAGTGGTGGAGATGAGGGGAAAAGGTCAAACATTTCCTGCTCTTCATGCAGGAAATGGGAATAAACACTCAAAATGGTCGACCTTCCAATCAGACTTTACAAGTTGGGGGTGAGGGGAATACACAGTCAGGTTTACCAACCTCTAATCAGAAGGATAATGAATCTGGGAGACCAAGATGAGTGTTAAAATAGGCAGATGTCATGTAGGCCTACCCAAAATACAGGGACAATAGGTGTTCTTTAGAACTTTCCTCTGGCAGACAAGGCATTTCCTCTGCCCATCCAAGAAGACTTGCAGCTTGTTAACATTTCAAAGAGGAAAGGGGATGCAGACAGCCCCCTTACTCTTGCTGTTCTTGTAACTTAACATCTAGAAGGAAGTAGAAGGGGGCTAGCTGCTCTAGCTTTTTAGTTTTTACTTTCTAGTTTTAATGTCTGAGTCTGGCCCTTTTAATATTTATTAACATAATATAATTTTCCTGTCTCCTCATCTATCCATCCTACCTCATCCATCACTCAAGGCTAACTGCTACCTAACAATATAACCTCTTAGCAAAAATCTCAGAGCTGTCATACATTTGCAAAGCAAATGTATTATTTCTAATTTTTTCCTGGATTAAATTTGTAAAGACATGCTCCATGTTGAAGTCTCTTCATAGGCTGATTTCAAATTGTTTTTGTTCTGCATCTCTTTTCACACTCATCACCCATGGGTAAGGTAGAATGAGTGTCAGTGACTGCACATCCATAGTGAGGCATGAATTGTTGTGGCTCAAGATAAATGAGAGCCATGCCACATGCACTCATACATGGCAAAGACTTCCCAGCTAATATTTAGGAACCCAGTGCTATGGTCAGTACTTTTGAAAAAATTTGTTTAAAGTTTCTTAAAACAGCATTTTTGAAGAACTGGAAAGCATTCTTGCTGATTCAGAGGTTTGTTGACAGTCTTCTAACATCAGCAATCTGCTAAGCCTTCCCTGGTTTACAGAGCACTGCTTTTGATGTAGCAGTGAAGATAACATTTTTTCATGGGGTTCTGAAGTGCTGTATCTTCCTCAGTACTGTAAATAAAGCTTAGTGAGGTTTTACTATCATTCTTTTCTATTGACTTGATGTTGATGTTTTCCTTTTAACTTGATGATTTTATCCCCATGTTCTCTTTGGCAGGATATAATGCTTTTTCTGGCTTGCCTTAAGAAGTTTTACCTCTTTAAACACTCTGATTCAGAAGTTAAATGGGAACTTTGCTCATTATTCATTTTCATATAATGCCTCCATAACAGATGGACCAATAGGTATAAGGTATTCACTTTGGAGGAATTTGGATATAGTTGTAAAAATATTTGCAGTACTCTTAAAATGTGCCAAATAGTCTATTTCTCAGTGGAAAATAAGGATTTGTGATTTTCTTTTGTTGGATAAAGAGAATAAGTCAAATGCATCTGAGACGTTGTTAAGTATGTTGAAAATAGAGCTTACTAATAACATTGCTTGGTATTTTTCTGATCTCCCTTCATGTCTTGGTTAGCTAAGTCTACCTTTATAGTATCATAGTGACAAAAGAAGCATTTCACAGGTCTTGAAAATAAATTAGGGAGAGGTTAGCTAACTTGTCCAAGAGCACTCAGTCATTTACTGCTTCACCAGGATTAGACTTTAGACCAGATGTTTCTACTATTAAATATGATAACCGTCACTTTTAGACATTCCTGAAAATAAATCAGCTACTCACATGCCTAACCCAGGTAATATGGTATGTGACCTTGGATAAGTGATCTACCATTTTATATTCCACAGTCTCCTCAACCATAAAATAAAGGAGTCTGCCTCATAGGGTTCTCATGCTCAGGAAATAATCTAATATGCTTAAAGAACTGAGAATAATGTGTTGTTATTCTCATTGCTATTAAAATCAGTGTGTAAATTCTAAAGTCAAGTAAACAAAAATATAGAAACTAATGGATAATTTTAATGCATGGGTATTTGACAAGGGAAAATTAATGGTAGCATCTCACTGCTTAGGGATTCTGTGGGAAGTATGTTGGAGAAGGGGAGGCACATATCAACCTCTGGTTTTGCATTATCTGTGTCCCAGCTTCTGTGGACTCCCCATGTCACTCCCATTTATTTATCCCCAGCCACACCCCTTATCTATAATGTAGTGAGAAACCAACTTGGCTTTGGCAGACACATCCTAAACACAAAACAAGTACCAATTCCATAAAAGAATCCATGGAAGGCAAGAAAAAGAGAAGAGTATAAAGATTTGCCTCATCCTAAACTACCAAAGATTGTTTCCTTCTTTCTTTCGCCCATCCTTTATTCTGCGAATCTTGAAAGCTTTTATTTAAAAAAAAAAATTTAGAAGTCTGAGTGAAATACTTTATTTATTCTGTCTCCCTCACTTTAAGGGAAGAGCTTGAGAAGTGATATGGGTCCTATTTTTGTATTCTTGATTTTTAGTACGTTTTCTAGAACATCCTAGATACTAGGCAAATGCTTGCTCCATGAATGCAAGAGTGAGTGAGTTACCACCATAGGTATTATCTATGGAATTATGGAAAAGAGGCAAATGATTGACACATGGAGAAGAGATGAGCTGGAAATAGAAAATGGGATATAAACCGAGTGCCAAGGATAAACTCTATAAAAGTCGTAGAGTAAATGATATTCTGTTATTATCAAATTCACTCTCAGATTTCTTCTGGGTCCACCCTAATTTTTTTTGTTGTTGTTATTTTCAGAACTAACAATTTCAAAATAGTTGTGTATAATCATACCACTGCCTTTTCCAGGGCATCAGACTGCAAATTTGTAGGTGCATCATACTTCTACACAACCGCAGAATTTCACTTTTAGATCCCTGATCTTAGTGATTTGAAACTTCAATCTCAATTATTCTTTTAGGCAACTGTTTGCTTGACCTCCCACGAAAGCAGATCCTGGGCCCTGAAGAGCTCCCAGGACAGACCTATGATGCCACCCAGCAGTGCAACCTGACATTCGGGCCTGAGTACTCCGTGTGCCCTGGCATGGACGTGTGTGCCCGTCTGTGGTGTGCCGTGGTGCGCCAGGGTCAGATGGTGTGCTTGACCAAGAAGTTGCCTGCTGTGGAAGGGACACCCTGTGGGAAGGGGAGAATCTGCCTACAAGGCAAGTGTGTGGACAAAACCAAGAAAAAATACTACTCGGTAAGTAGTTTTCTTGGCACCCAAAGCATGGGAAGTGCATTCTCGGGAAGAGTTAGCACTATCACTGGGAGAATCCATTAACTAATTCAAAGATTTTTCCTTTAAAGATCAGTTTACAACTTCATCCTTTGCCCATAGTACCCACTCTCAGTAATCAAATACTGGAGAGCAACAGATAATAGGTATTCGTTCACAAATTATAGCCTTTCACAAATAAATATGCAAACCAGACTATCTGATTGAGACCCAAAGTAGGGCCCCAGAAATTGCCTTTCATAAACTTATTTTTAAATTCCCCTTGCTGAAGTTATCAGAACACATTGATTTAAATTCAGTAAGGCAATAGTAGCAGAGCTGATAGTATGGTCCTTTATTCATATTTGGTAAGCTTCAGAGTGGTCACTTTTTCCCCCTAACAGCAAGCACACAAAACTTTAGGAACTATGTCAGCCTATGTCTAGTCTGCTGCTAGATGCATCGTCCGGCTTCCAGTCAGCACCTGCTGCCTTGATCCCCAAGGCAGGATCACAGTATATGTTCACGCTTACTTACAGGATTTGCAAAGTCCCCAGGAGAGTGTTGCCATATGCTTTTTGTCTGTGTCTTATCATATAGCCCAACACAGGCAGTCAGAGACAGTTCTGTACCATTCCGGGTAAAACCATTTTTCATGTGTTTCCTTTTGGAATCTCTCAGCTTCCTCCTGCAGTGTTTCCAGAGAACTAGACAGAGGATGGCATAACAGGGCTCTTCATTCCCTGTGTATGTATAGGGGAGATGGGGAGGGTGCCTATAAGGTACAGGTGTCCTTCAATGTCTGTCACATCTAATTAGGAGTTGAGCCAAGCCCAGCTCAAATGCATTTATGTATGGAGCAGAGAATCTGTTCCAGACAGAGTGTGTGATGTCGACAAAGGTACTGCAGAATTTTAGAGCTACAGAGGGAACAAAAGAGATGCAAGCACAATGAAATTGTGCCCTGTATTGTGCAAAATCATTAGTATTGTATATTTCATTAAAGATCCATTGACACTTTAGATCCTCCACTGCTGGGAGTGAGGCCTGGAAAAGATGAATTGCCTAGAATTGGAAATGTGTTGCAATACGTACCAGAGTATGACTGTGTTCTTCTTAGTGAAAATTTAACTCTGTCATGACTGTGTCATTACATGCAAGTGATTTATAGAGGTACATTTTGAATGCTTGCTTTCCTATTGTCTAAGTATATCTACACTTTTCTATTTCAGACATCAAGCCATGGCAACTGGGGATCCTGGGGGCCCTGGGGCCAATGTTCTCGCTCATGTGGGGGAGGAGTACAGTTTGCTTATCGCCACTGCAACAACCCTGCACCCAGAAACAGTGGCCGCTACTGCACAGGAAAGAGGGCCATCTACCGCTCTTGCAATGTCGTGCCTTGCCCACCTAATGGTATGCTACTCCCAAGTGTCAGGAATCGCCATGCACCACGTGTTCTTTGTATTCTACCAGAAATAAATTAGGGAGGCTGGAGAAATAGCATTCATCTTATACTGCACAGTTCCACTAGTGTGCAGATCGATAACAAATATTGGAATGATCTTTAAATTATTACGATCAGCAGTGTATTCAGGGAAGTTGAAGAAAATAATTCTGCTTTCAAATCTGTGCATAGATAAAATATTTTAAAAGTAGTGCATAGAAAAAACCTCCCCGATAAAAAATACTGTTAGCATCCTCCCTTAAATTTAATTATTTAAATGCACAAGAGTATATCTGAGTTGCAGAACAGATAAAGTATTAATATAATGTGTTTGTTTCCTAGGTAAATCTTTTCGTCATGAGCAGTGTGAGGCCAAAAATGGCTATCAGTCTGATGCAAAAGGAGTCAAAACCTTTGTGGAGTGGGTTCCCAAATATGCAGGTGTCCTGCCAGCAGACGTGTGCAAACTGACCTGCAGAGCCAAGGGCACTGGCTACTATGTGGTCTTCTCCCCAAAGGTAACTCCCCACTGACTGCAGAAGCAGTAGGCAGCTTTGGTGGAAATTATTTGGTAGAATGAAACCTGCAGATGCCAAATGAAAGCAGTCATTATTGAGTGGGGGGGGTAAGATTTTGGAGGGCTTTCATTTGGAGGGCTCTGTAGTTTCTGTATTTTTCAAACTTTATATAATGAATCAAGAATTACTTTTAAGCAGAACAAGTAAATGTTTTAAGTTATTTTTGAAAAGCATAACACTGTCAAGGAAGATGAGATGTGACCGTAACTTCAAAATAACCATGAAAACATCTAGTGTTTCCTAGGCACAGTTGCTAAAATGTGATATAATGCAAGAAAACTTCCTATTTTTCTGTCATTTACTTAAGAATTCTTTTGCTGAGTCATGAAAATGAATTCCAAGGTCACTGTCTCTGATGCAAGCTTTTGAATAAGTCTTAGACCCTGAACATGAATCAATGTCTTTCTAGTTATATAAATTGTAATATATGTATGTAGTTATCCCTTATTTTTCACGGTTGAGAAGGGTTTCTTTCTTACTTTCCTTTTTATGCAATAATTTACAAATACTGTTTATCTAATTTTCAAAGAGGTGATATATCTAAAACACCTCTGAAACTGGCATTCACATATATATGAATATATATCTATATCTGTCTGGTGTATATATATATATATATATATATATGTATATATAACATAATATTGGAAAATAAGCCAGTATCCAACTTGTATAAAATTTAAAATATCTTCATATTATGAAATAATATTTTTTCATTTAAAAATCTTGCAAAGAAATAAAAACCAAAACATCACCTGAAAACATCACCACATAGAGAACAGCTGAGGTGTTAGAGTATACTCTGTTTCAGTTAGCACATACACACACAAATTCACTTGCATTTCCATGTTTGTGAACAGAGAACTGTGTATGTGCACAAATTCAATTTATATGTTTCAGTATATACATTACCATATATGGTCACATGCAGAAATGACAGTTGTACATGCTGTGCTTTCACTGGCTTTTTAACTGTAGTATGTATGAATTCCTTTATTCAAAGCCTATTCAGTCTATGAGTACATACTTTTCTGATGTCCCAGATTCAGTTTTCTGCACAAATCCATTTGTCTCTTGTTCAGTGCCTGTCATTCAACACACAATGGGAAATTCTTACAACTATGACATGGTATTGAATGAGTTTAGATTTTTAAATTTGTTACTATAATAACAGTTGTGCAGCAAAGAATAATCTTTGTGTTCCAAAGCCTGTGCATATTCAGCTCTCCACAGGAGTGATAGTTCCACACACAAAGTAAAAAGATTGCTTTCTAAAAAGGCAAGATTATACTGCAGGAAAAAGTTATGCGTGCAAAAATGGAGATTTGTACCTTGGATAGCCTAACATATTAAGAATTAGGGTCACAAGAGAAAGTACATGAACTGTATTTTTTCAGATCTTCTTACTACCAGATGTCAAGGAATTTGCAGTTAGAAATTCCTGAAAACTAAGTGGTTGGTTGTTTTTTGATCACTTGTTTCTTTTTTGATGCTGAATTTATACTAATCAACATCAAAAGTCACAATTTAGAACTTACTAGCTTACAAAAGGAACCAATTACCAATGCACAAATGCACTCCACTGCTGATGTGTTTGTTGTGACTCAGGTGACTGATGGAACTGAGTGCCGGCCATATAGCAATTCTGTCTGCGTCCGAGGAAGGTGTGTGCGAACTGGCTGTGATGGTATCATTGGCTCAAAGCTGCAGTATGACAAGTGTGGAGTGTGCGGAGGAGACAACTCCAGTTGTACAAAGGTTATTGGAACCTTCAATAAAAAAAGGTAATGTGATAAAAACCTTTGCCCCTGTATGAATTAGATAAAGCTTTAGACTTTTGGAAATTGATATGGGGAACTGACGTTACTTCATCAGTTGTCCGTACGAGGAGATCTAATGTGGCTCTGATAACACAGTATGAATATGAGAAGGGAAGGAGAGGAAATGAATAAAACTCTGGTGGCTTGGTGGAAACTCACTGTGTCTCTAAAAGCAGATCTGAAAACGCCATAGAGTCAGCTCTCTAAGAGAGAACTCTAAGAGAAAAGATGGATGGCATCCACTGTAGTGAGATCTTGCAGATCTATTGTCCTAAAACATAATTTAGGAAAGAATGGCCGGTTTCTACCTTATTGAACAAATTTTCATTAGGTTATGTTTTTCTTGAGAAAACATTTCTCTTGGAAAAGGTAAGTTAATTGAAGTGGTGTAGATAATAATTCTGTTTTACAGTGAACTGTTCTGGTTTGTATCTACTCTGAAAGGAAATATGTACAATGATGACTCCTGTTTCTTCACTTTAGCTTTAAATATGTATTTTCTGGCACAAATATTACACTATCATCAGAGAAGATAGCCAGTTTGGCTAAATAGTCCTGTTAAATACAGGAATATTTTTCTTCTTTGCAAAATTTCTCATATGCTGAGTGATATTGAGTGCACCTGCATTCTTGATATAGGTTCTGTGTTATCTTTAACTTGAGATTGATCTGCAAGTCAAATTGACGATAGGGTTTATTAAAAAGATTAAGCATCCTGTTAATGTAAAAAACTAGAAATTATGTTCAACATGATGAAGAAATATATAGCTAAAGAATTTGTTCTCAATTAAATTATATATTACTAATCTTATTTTCTAATATAATAATAATTATTTGCCTAATTGTGTGAAGTCATCTATGTCTAAAACTCTGCATATCCAATTACATTCTGTCACTATATATTTCAAAGGCAAAAGAACTTACAGATGATCAGTTTAACTTCTTGTTTTACAAATGAGGAATCTAGGGCTTTGAAAGTTTAGGACTTACCTAAGTCACATCATGGCAGCCCTTGGCTCACCACTCTAATGGTTTCATATCACTTAGAATCAATGTCCAACACTGTTTTCTAACCTGTCCTGCCCTGTCCTTCTTCTATAATGTCCCTTCTCTTCTTCTGCTTCAGTTATATTGGACTTCCTAACACTACTCAAACATGACAATAAGAATATATGTGCTGTTTCTCCTGTCTGGAACTCTTTGCAATTAATAAGCAATGCTTCCTCTGGGATTCCTTTTTAGTCTATCAGTTGTCACCTCACCAGATCATGGCCACTCTAAATGGATAGTAGGACCTCTCCTCCACCCCACCATTACTCTCTCTCTTCTTACATTGCTTTGTTTCTTCACAACTCTTCCCAATTGACACTGTCAAATATTTTATTTTGGAGAAGGATAGGGAAATCTGAATGACTTCACTAAAATGTCTTTTCTATGACAGCATGCTCAAAACTCAAATAATACCAAGCAGAGTGTAAAGGAAATGAACAAGTAATATAATTTGAATCATCTTCTCTGAGGCACTTAGAAATTGGGGGCACTAATCCCTCAGTCTTACCAGTGCCTAGTGAAACTCAGTTTAAAGACCCACCACAATGCTGACCATCCTCACTGATTCTCATCAAAATGAGACAGGTTCTAAGGAATAGGACAAAACCAAAAGGCTGTCCTGCCTGATTCCCTTACCATTCATCCTTTCTTTTCCTTATATCTTAATCTGATGTCATTTACACAATGGATGAAGCCAGAGCTTATTTAAATTTAACTATTCTAAAATATGGCTGGCAGCAGTAAGAATTTTATGCATGAGGACATAATGAAAAGAGCACACATTGGGAGTCAAGAGGCTTGGAATTTAAGCCTAGCATTGCCCCTAGTGAGTTCTGAAGCCAACTTGTTCAAAGATTTTAATATATCCCTACTTCATATTTTTTAAGTAAGATGAAGCATTACCCTGACATTTTTCCTGACTTTGTTTGAAGTCACTGTAGATTTGCATGTCATTTACTGATATTAGATGCTACATTCAAAAGTCCTGGAACAGAGTCTTATCCATAATGTATTATAAAGATAAAATAATGAACCATAATAGACACTCTGAGCATATCTGCTCTGTTCAGCACTGATGGAAGTGCTGACGCATGTCTGACAGTCACTGGATAGATGCTAACTAGACAGAGGACATCCTTGGGAATAAGCTTCCTCTCCAACTCACAGGAAATGCTGAAGCAGGGAAAACACTTGGATTTTTAGTGTATGCATAATTACTCCACAAACTCTAACCTTGAGTAAGGATTGAAAATTAACACAATTCAATTTTACACACATCAATCAAACTGCACAAGTATGCTATTTCTTTTTAAACAACTAGGAGAGTATTTAAAGTAATACTAAATGGTAGTAAGCCTTTATACCTGATCATGAAATTAGGTATAAAAGCAAAGGTTTTGGCAAACAATTACTCCTTCACACTGCTCTAGCTCCTTGGTACTTAATTAGTGTTTTGATCCTAGCATTTGCCACAGGTTTCTGGTTATGGGACATGTTGCCTTTGCCCATTCTTCTGAGCAGATATGATGGATCTCAGAGACCTATCTAATTTTCACTCACTGTAACAAATATCTGATTCAGTTTGTCATAATCTCTCATGGAGACTAAGCATTCAAGAAAACTTGATAGGCACTAGAAATTCATTTTTTTCCTCTTTTGATAGTAGTAAGTTATCATTACCAAGTTATAGAACTTTACCTTCCATTTAGGTTCCTGCCCCATGAAATCCAGAGTTCTAGTAGAGCTGGAAGCAGGGCATCAATTTCTCTGTCTCCAAACCTACAAATAACTAAAGCTGTACTCTTAAACCAGTCTACATATTGGAGCAATGTGAGGACCATCAAGAGTTTGTCCTGCACTAAAAGATGCAGATTTAATTGGTCTGGGATGTGGCATAAGCTTTGGAAATACTGAGAGATCCCCAAGCAATTTCAATTTGCAAACAAATATGAGAAACATTAAAAATTTTCTGAGATTTCTATGATGGAAGATTTTTCTTTGCCAGTTATCCCATTTTGTGCCAGAAAGAAAAAGTAAAGTAGCTTTGTGAAGATAGGATTTGATAAGGATGGCAATAATTGTATAAATCTTTAAGTTGATATTTTTAAAAGTAAAGACAGATTGTTAACATCATTCCAATTTTTAACATCAATAAAAATGTATATAATAATCTAAAGCAATTTCATTTGATCCTAAAAAATTAATCTTAAAGCCAATTAAGATGAGGGAAGACTTTCAGAGATGTTCTATTTGCTTATTCATTCATTAAGTGTATATTTATTTTCTCTCCTTGACCCTTCTCCCATCTTTCATCCCCTGACCCTCTCTCACCCTCCTTCCCTCCCTCCCTCCCTCATGGATATCCTTATCTTCAGTAAGGGTTACACTGACGTTGTGAGGATCCCTGAAGGGGCAACCCACATAAAAGTCCGACAATTCAAAGCCAAAGACCAGACTAGATTCACTGCCTACTTAGCCTGAAGAAGAAAAACGGTGAGTACCTTATAAATGGAAAGTACATGATCTCCACTTCCGAGACCATCATCGACATCAATGGGACAGTCATGAACTACAGTGGGTGGAGCCACAGGGATGACTTCCTGCATGGTATGGGCTACTCAGCCACAAAGGAAATTCTGATAGTACAGATTCTCGCCACAGACCCAACTAAAGCATTAGATGTCCGTTATAGTTTTTTTGTTCCCAAGAAGTCCACGCAAAAAGTAAACTCTGTCACTAGCCACAGCAGCAACAAAGTGGGATCACACACACCACAGCTGCAGTGGGTGACAGGCCCATGGCTCGCCTGTTCCAGGACCTGTGACACAGGCTGGCACACCAGGACAGTGCAGTGCCAGGACGGAAATCGGAAGTTAGCAAAGGGATGTCTTCTCTCACAGAGGCCTTCTGCCTTTAAGCAATGTTTGCTGAAGAAATGTTAGCCTGTGGCTACGTATGCTGTTATGCACAAAGATGACTGGAGGATCCATGCCAGATACAGTGGTGATGAACAAGAGGTCCACCCAATGCACAGAAAGTCATACTTCAATATCATTGTCTCCAGGAGTCAAATTATGGGCAGAATCTGCTCTCTGTGACCAAAAGATGTACACTGCTTCATGTGATAGTGGTGACCTTGGAACATACAAAAACCTGGGAGTTATTATCGAACATCCCCTGGGCCTACGAAAATGAGAGAAACACTGATGAATGTAGAATCCGGGGACATTTAAAGATGGAAAAACAATCTCCCCCTTGTCACCTACCTCTTACAGAATGTCTTCAAAGGCATCATAATCACTTTCACCCATGATACACAGTTCCTTATTTTTACTGTTTGTAAATACATTCTCCCTTGGTATGTCACTTTATATCACATGGTTCTATTAAAATATATATACATATATATATATATATTTCTATAAAAAAAAGTGTTTGACCAAAGTAGATCTGCAGCTATTTCAACTCCTAGTTTCCAGAAAGAGCTGTGGATGTTTTACTGGAAATGAAGAACTTGCTGCTGTTTTAATAAGATTTTCTGACTACAGTAGATAAAATTTTAGTCCAAAACCATATTGACAGCAAGCATCTTTTAAGAAATTCTGAAAATTAAAAGGATCTCAGTGTGTCTGGTCATGTAAACACATACACAGGATCCTTTACTTAAGTCTCTGTATGTTTTTCAGGCAGCCAACCAAATTAATGTATAATTAGGACACACAAATAGTGTTTGCCTGTGTGTATGTGATCCGTTTTCAAGAATCTAAAAATTTGTTTGCTCATATTAGAATTTAAAAGAAAAGAAATGACACTGTGTTTTCAACTTATATTTTCACAACTGCTTTCTCTTTCTATGGCTCCCATCTGACATCTCACAATGGGTCATATACGTTTAGAACACACAGCATAGTTTTCTATCCTGTCCAACTACTTCAATACTGGTGTACCTCTTACCGGCAAGCCTTTAAAATGTGTTTGCTTTTGTTTGTTTTGTTCAAGGGTTCTGAAAGAGCAATGTTTTGTACTTCTTATTGTCTTGGTTTAATAGGAATATTAGAGATCACTTGGTAATGAGCCACTCTAGGAGGGGCAATCATCGTTAGTGTGGTTAAAGCAAAATCACAGTGGCTAACATTAATAAGACTGTTTCCACACCACAGGCAATAATTTCTTAATTTTTCAAAAATAAGAATATTCCTACTGTATTAAAGATTTTTCCCAATTGGAATGTGTTTGGTTGTACCAGTAAGTGTTTAAGTGACAAAAATATGATGATTTTCAATAAGTTTGATGTTTTTGTTTTCATAGCCTAAGTAGGTTATAAGATTAAATAGTTAGACATTGAAAATATTTTATACTCATACAAATAAAAGACTCTTTTTAGACTGTAAAACACATAACCCCGGCCCATAACTCAAAAACTCTGAGGTGTTTTATTCCAGTGTAATTCCTTTTTCTTTGTGAATTATGGCAACATTTTACAGTAATCATACCAATTGTGCCTAATGTTAGAGACTTGCATATAAGGAATTTAGGGAATTCACTGATGAGTTACATTAAACTTATAAGAGTTTATTTTTATTATATTTTAATATAAAATAAGTATGTAATTGATCTCTATCACCTTCATTTCAGTGAGCCAGGTAAATAGATATCTCACTGTTTAAAGTATTTTCTTAAGAAATTATTTTGTAAACAGATAATTGTTTTACAAGACCAATAATCATCCTTTGGATTTTCATAGACTGATTTTTGCTTTAGTCATAGTAATTTTATATTAAGAAAGTATCATTTCAAGAAATGTGGCCTACACAAAACTACTAATCTATACTTGATAGAGAGCAGTGAATACCAAGAGCCAAGAGCAGGGAACAATAGAGCTGATCAAATTCATCAGCAAAAAGTTAAAAATCACACTTGGCATTTAACTGTGCAAATGTAATTAACAGAGAGTTGATGTCACTTTTTCTGATTTGGAAAATAATTTTAACCAAGTAACTCAAATGTGACAAAATTCAGTTTTATCTTTTGTGGTTATATTTCCAGTAACATTAAAAAAAATTAAAGAATGAATATGGTTGTCTCTGGGTTCAATACACTGTATTCATAGATTTTTAATAGTATTTGCCAGTGATTCATTTTCCCCCCAAATAAGGAAGTTTTATATTTCTCATTGAAATAAACCTAGAGAGTTAAGAACAAATAAACCACTACCCCATGTTTTCAAGGAATTTTCTCCAGTTTTTAAGGAGTATCTATCACTAGATTGACTGAGGAATGTATGTCTAATCTTCTGAGACAAATGATGCAGACTGGAAACTAAAATTCAGAGAAGTGGAGTGTTACATACATAGAACAGAAGCAAAGGGAAAAATCCTCTATGAATCTCTATAATTTAGTCAAGTTTGATTTTGTAGTATGTCTTCCTTTTTCTCATTGTTGCATCTTGAATTTTTTTTTTAAGTAGGATTTAGGATGCTAAAAAAGGATAAAAAGATTCAGGATTATAAGAATCTAATCTCACTTGCAAAAAAATAAGCACTCCATAATAAGTTTCACTAAGCACAAAGGAGTCATGAAGAAAATAGTGTTTATTTCTTCTAGAACAAAAAAGATCAAATTAAGCCCGGCCTTGTCATTTAGAAGTATAAGAGCCTTGTTGTAATTTGTATAACAAATTTAACTTCTTTGCCTTCCTGTGGAAACAGTTTTATCCCATTAAACTAAGAATTAAGGGATGAATCACAAACAAAAAAAGTTGCAGCACTGAAAAATAAGTAATTTATTATTTTTGCAACTGTGATAAATTTGTGTGATAAAATTATTTATTCTTATTTAACAAAAATATGTGCAAATTCTTCTATATTTAAATGTTTTGCTGTTGTCCTACTTTTTTAATTTATGCTTCACGTTTGTGTATAAAGTACACTTTGTGAGTTTACATAATGTATAGCACTGGTTGCTTTTGTATCTTTTTTTTTTTTACAGAAAGCTTTCTGTGTGAACAGGTGTATGTGTATATATTCTTCATGCATCCTTATTCTGACCCTCATTTTTTTCTCTAGGGAAATTTTAAGTTTAATCTTTCATAACTAGCAGTTTTCATTACTTGTTGCTATGTTAAAAAGGTCTTTTACTCCTATTAACACTGATTTTTCCAAGACACAGAAAAGAAGAATGCTTAGTCAATCAAATAAGGTGAAAGTTTTAAACTTGAGTACTTAGCTAGCCAAAAGCTTCCCATAGAGTCTCTAGACACAGTCAAAAATCAGGTTCAAGCCAGGCATGGTGGTGCATGCCCTTGATTTCAGCACTTTGGAGGCTGTACTGCACAGCGAGACCCTATCTAAAAAGAAAATATAATAATAAGAAGAAAGAATTGGGCTCATTCACATCACTGACAAACATGGACAAGGAGCTGTTGATATATAAAAGTTGTGTACACATAACCTCTGGGTGTTATGAATGACAATAAAACCAAAAATTATCATTTGCTACTTTAGAAACACTTCCTAAAATCACTATCATTTTGTCTTTAGTGTCTATAGGAGTGTACAGATGAGCTCAAGTTGGATTTGTAAGATTCAGATGCTAGTAGATATAAATGTTTCTTCAAATATGGGATGTGCATTGACAGAATGTTGTCTGGAGTGGTAAGACCTGGGACAGCCAGGGACACCTTTATGGTTTCACAGTCTGATCCCAGCAACAAAGCAAAGCACCCTTGGACTCACCACATGACTCACTGGGTTGGTCTTTGGTTCTAATGTTCCTCCATAGATTCCTTCCTTGTTAACAAGATTACTATAGTAGTTGATATGGTGACACCAGTCAGATTCAAAAATCTAGGATTTATTCTATGACTTATACCTAAGGATTATTGTTACAAGAAAAAAAAAGTTGAATTTAATAATTACTGAATTTTGTTAGTCATAGAGCTGAGTGTGACATTTCACTAGCATGACTGACGAGTACCACTAATCTCTTTATAATTAAGGCTATCATAGAACCAAATTCAAAGAGCTTTATCATTTAGACACATAGAAAGGGACTTATATGTCTTTTCTATTATTTTTCTTGTTTTCCAACAGCCTATAGTTTTAGGTTATCAGACATGTAGATAAATTTAACTGAATAGTCCACTAAAATATCTTCCTAATAGCCTTCAGTGAGTAAGAACTACAGAAATGACATTTACTGAGTTAGTGTCCTGAAACACATCAGTCTATAATGTATAATCATATTCTATCCAATTGAAGTATAGAAATATATTGAAATATGGAATCATGCATTAGTCAGTCAAAAATGGGAATGCAGATGGTGCTCAGATAAGCAAAACATTTTATATACCAAATTCCAAGTGCCATGATATAATTCTAGGACAGGTTTTGTGGGAAAAATAAAGGAGTGTGTTGTTAAAAGTTGTAGGTTTTGAAAGAGAATGAGATTTGAGCATAGCCTCAGTTAACTCCGTTAATTACACTCTTTTAATATCCTAGAACTTTAGCAATAATTTTGTTGTCTCTGATCATTATCTTGGTGGTTCCACTAATTGGTCCATGTAGACTGCATAGGTCAAATGAAAAATAATAATCTATCTGTCCTATAAGGCATGGCTACATCAATGACTCAAAGTCTAACACTGGGAGGAAACCTGTCCCCAGAGAAGTTTTTTTCCTATTTTTTGGTACATCCATTAAAGAATTTTAATTGTTACTGTGGTGCTAACATCTTCAGTGATCAACTCTCAACTGTGGTATTTCTGAGTTACTGTGTTTTTCAACATTATTTTACAATTCACAAGAAAGACCTCTAAGCACAACTGGACACAACTTAAAACTCACAGTTCAGGAAAATAAACACATCTAGTGATCATTCTGACTAGTGATGAGCAGTGACATAAACTTTATGTACATCTGAGGATATTAAAGGTCTCATCAAAACTTGAAGAGTGTCAGGCCAGAGTTTTGTTTAAATAGCCAGCTTTCAGCATTTTCTAAGCCCTCAGCATTCCATTCAACTCTTTTTGTATATTTCACCTCTTTTTAACTTTGCAGAATTTTATGCCCAGAGTAAACATTTAGTGACAGTATCTCAACCTTTATTTTTAATAACTCACAGTATATTAAAAAGCACTGCTACCTGTACTTAGAGTATATTTAGAGTAGGAGTTCATACTTTAAGGCTAGACTTTTGACTAAGAAGTATATAGTCTCTGGACTGAAGGAGTGGCTCAAGAGGTAGAGTGCCCGCTTTTCAAGTATGAAGCCCTGAGTTTAAACCCCAGTCCCACCAAAAAAAAAAAAAAAAGTATGTAGTCTCTGGATAGAATTTTTGCAACATACACGTAGGCATGACATAGATGTTGTCAGTTCATCTTACTACTATTAGGAGTTGACTAGCACTGCTTACATTTTACTAGTGACCTATTAATGAAAATCATGCACCTTGCTTTGTACATAGATATTGCAGATAACTAAATTGATTACAGAAATATATTCCATTTGCTATAAGCAGTGGCACAAATAATTGATTTCTGTGTTAGTATCTGTGAGCAAAGTCAAGTAATAAATCTAAGTAGGTATAACTTAGAATTTTAAATCTTGAAACATGCTTTCATGGTAGAGAAAAGCAATGAATATTTGCATACTGTGTATTAAAACATAACATGTAAGCTGCTTATCCTCAGTTTTTCAGAAGTGATGGCATATAATGCAGTTGAATGACCAAAAACCTTGGAAAACTAAGACGGGTCTTGTTCAAAATGTTTTTTCAGCTTTGATGAACTTTAAATTGGAATCGACTATTTAAAGCATTGTTCTGTCTTGTAGCCTGCATTCCACAACAGCTCTGTTATTCAGGTATACACTTGAACTGAGCCGTTTGGGACCTATACTGTAATATTTTTCATTGAGGAGCAATATCCCATTTTGTAAAGCATTTCCCTGTGTGTAACTTTAAACTGTAAAATTAAAGACTGATTTTCTGGTTTCAGTGGACATAATAAATATAAATTGTAAACTAGGTTAAAATATGTGCTGCATATAATATATTTTACAGTTGGAAACTATTACCCATTTATTTTTACTTCTCTCATTATACTCATAGCATAAAGACAGGTCTTGAAGAAGCATTAGATTGGATGAAAGGTCAATCATTTGTCATCAACTTTAGCATAGACAGCATTTTCTCTTAGTTAAAATACTGTGGAACTATTTCTTTCAAGTTTTCCTTGCCAGACTGTCACCCCCTCAAGTTTGCTTAGCAATGAAATTTGGGTGTTAAATTAGAAACACCAACTTGAACATAGTTTGGTTCATTTTTGTATTTTATATATAAACATTGTAGATATAAAGAGTTGAGATTGTAATGCAAGCATAGTTTTTTTAAA